AGTACAATCTAGTTACCGCCGCATGATCAGAATATACTGTTATCGGCGCCTTTCCAAAATAGACTCGGAACTTTTGCACTGCTAACAGAACTGCAAGTGCCTCTCTCTCGGTCGCGGAATAGTTTCTTTGTGTTTGATTTAAAGTTCGGCTAAAAAATGCCACTGGCTGCTGATTTTGCGAAAGTACCGCTCCTACCGCATAATCCGAAGCATCCGCTGAAATTTCTAAATTTTCATCCTTTTCAGGAAATTTCAACACAGGGGCTTGCGTTAATGCTTGTTTTAATTTTTCGAAAGCACTATTGGCTTCGGCCGTCCACGAGAATCTTGCCTTTTTCCTTTTTAATTTTAACAATGGCTCAGCGATAGCCGCAAAATCTTTTATAAAGGACCTATAATATGAACAAAGTCCTAGAAAAGAAGAGAGCTTCTTTGCCGTGTTTGGAGTCGGATACTTTTGTACAGCGATTATTTTTGATTCATCTGTCTCGATCCCTTTTTGCGATATTTTGTAACCTAAATATTTTAATTCAGGGGCTGCAAATTTGCACTTTTTCGACATTAACTTTTAGACCGGCCTCATTTAATAAAGAAAACACCTGTCTTAAATCCTGTACATGTTGGTCGAGATTATCACTAGTAATAATGATATCGTCTAAATAGATAAATGTGGACTTTCCAAGAACAGGTCTTAACACAATGTCCATGCATCGCTGAAATGTTGCTGGGGCGCCTGAAAGGCCAAACGGCATTCGCAAAAATGCATAAGTGCCAGACTTGGTTATAAAAGCAGTCTTAGGCACGTCCTCAGGCCTGATCCCCTATTTGAAAATAACCATTCGTTAAGTCTAAAGTCGTCATAAATTTGGTTGATTTTATGTTCCTTAAAATTTCTTCTATAATCGGTAACGGATATACCGGATATTTCGTTATGGAATTTAATTTACGGTAATCAATAGCGAATCTCCACCTTTTTGGATGCTCCAAAGGATAATCATTATTTTTCTTACATAAAACCACCGGACTAGCATAACTACTTGAGATAGGCGTTACGATCTTTTTACGTAGCATATCGGTAATATGCCATTCTATAATTTTTTCCTTATTCTTATCATACCGGTATGGTTTTTGACGAACCGGCAATGCATCTCCGGTGTCAATACTATGGTTAGTAACCTGGGTAAATCCTGGAATATCACTAAATAAGGAAGCAAATTCACTTACCACTTGTCGGATTCTATCTTGCTCGTCATTAGGCAGGTGGTCAAGATTTAACCTTGGCGGTTCAACCTTTTCTACACGCACTGGTTTCATCGTCAGCTTAAGGGACGCTTCATTAAAATCCAGTGTAGCTTGTGCGTCTGAAAGAAAGTCTATTCCTAGGATTAAGTGTGCTTGCAAATTCTTTACTATAAAAAACATCACCTTTACTTGTTCGTCCTTGATACGGATGTACAAAGGTACTTTACCTACGCACTTACATTGTTCTCCTTGCGCCGCTAATACTGTTGTATTATCCGCATTATATATGCGGTATTTGCGAAAATACTTTCTAAAAAAGACTTCTGCCACACAGGAACACTGCGCGCCGGTATCCAGGAGTGCGGTGGCCGGGATATTATTTACCAAGACTTCAATCTTCGGAAGAGTTAAATTTTTCACCATTACTGTATTTAACTTGTAGGAAGAGGGGTTTTCGTGGCCTTCGGATTTCCGCACCCTCTCGTCAGCAGAAATCCGTTTTAGTTTAAATTATTTTTCCTTTCGGTGCTTTCCTTCTTTCTCCACTGGCCTTGAGACTTTTTTCCTGGGTTGCTATTGAACTGTCGACGTTCGCCGGCTGTTTTTGAATGCTCGGGTTTCCTTGCCCACTGATTCGCTTTTTCTCCCTCCGTAGCCATGTGCTTGAGTTTGCTGTAGTCTTGGCGTACCAAATTGGTTTCGCTGTTGATATTGGCGTCTTCTTTCGACGTCCGCCGTTCTTCTACTTTCAAACTGGATTGCTAGCTCAAATAACTTTTTCCAGTGTAGTCGGATTTCTCAATTCAATAAAGTCTTGCACTTGGGGTAGTAACCTCGGCAAAATCACTTGAATTATTTCAGGATCCGGACGGTTTCCATACAAGAGCTTGAAAACGTGAATTTTTCTTAAAATAAAGCTCGAGAGGTTTTCCATTCTTTGTTGATATATACTGAAAAGTTCTGTTTCTAATTTCGCACGATCCCTTACAACAGGGAAGGCTTTTAGTAGGGCAGTCTTGAAATTTTCGTAGGTATAGGTGGGACTTCCTGCTTGACCCAAGAGACTTCTGCCGATACATTTGAACCAGTTAAGCGCTTGGCCCCTCAAAGCGCTGGTAGCTAAGGTAACTTTTTGAAACTCGTGCACGGGGTAGAGCATGAAGTGGTCATCCAATTTTTCCAAAAAACTGGTTACCTGTGAGTTTCCATTAAACGTTGCTTCTGGTTTCATCGAAGCGCGCATGGTCTGGACGAATGTACCCAAATCCTTCCAGGGCGGCAGCTGGCATTTCTGGATTCTGAGCCGTTTCTGCAGGCAGCACAGGTTCTTCTTGAAACTCGGCCATGGTTATTCTTCTTCGTCGGGCGCCACTATCAGGTTCAATGTTTCTTCTAACCTTCTTCGGAAACATACAATGACCTGACTAGAACAGAGAGCTTACTAAAGCTATGTTCACTAATTGTAGTAAGTAGACAGGATACAGACGAAGGGTATACAAAACCCTTTATTTTTCTTATATACAATGACTTCCAATGACTTCCGTACTTCGGAATACAATGACCCTCCACTCGGGGTCTAACGTTAAAAGATATCAAAATAAAACTAAACTCTAATTTAACTTTAGAATAAGATTGGCCTTATAATAACAGGAAGCGTATGTAGCACAGAGACTGTGAACACTACAATACGTTTAATTTATCAAGAGGATTAAAACCTCTGGCCTGGAAGGCAAAGTAGCAACTGCGTAACTTCTAAGGTAAGCGGCCTGCTTCGAACTCACTGGCTTCCTCTCTTCTGCTTGGCAAAAAGGCCACACTTAAATACTTGGCGTTCGCCAGACAAACTTTGCATAAAATCCTTCACGCTTATAATTCTGGCCGGAAGTAGAAAATAAGAAGTGATAGTAAAGATTTAAAATAAAATAAACGGTAGTAAAACTTAAGATCCTTACAACTTATTATATGTAACTGCAGATGTAGACCTGAGATCTTTCAGTCATGAAACTATTTACTGCACATCAGTTACATATTCCTTGAGGAAATGCATTGCTAATAGAAATTAATAGTACCTTTAAATAATTTCAGCAATTGCAAAGGAAACTTTTATAACAGACTTTTTAAAATTTTTAATTAATTAAAAAATATTACTATGTATTAATATAAAGAATATCATAGTAATAGAAGTAAATAAAACATGCAGACTACTAAAATTATAACTATATGAATGAAAACAAATACTGTACACATGAAAATGTAAAATGAAAATTACAAATGCGAAATGTAAAAGAAAATTAAGCAATAATTATCTGTAGGTAATTAAATTCCAATTTAATATTTCTGCTGAGTGTGGAATAATTCAAAACGAGAATCGACACGCACGACAATGATTGCTTTTTATGCCAAGCAAGTAAAATGCATCACGTGTCGGGAAAGCTGATATCTTCCCCCTTCTGTAATAATGCTGTGGAGTTACTTTTATATTAACCAAGAAAGTCTTATGTTAAGTTTTAAAATAAATATAAAAAAGGACAACTGGTCCGAGTTTTCCATCACGGAAGTTCGCGAACGTTACACCCGCTGTATTCAGCTAGATGCGTTTACTCACATTCTCCTAACGAAATAATAATAATAAAACATAAATAGAAACATTCAGCTGGATGCATTTCCCAACATTCTAATAATGAAAAAATGCAAAGAATATAAACGAAATTCCTAACAAACATGGTGTCCTTTTAACTTAAACAGCTGTGATTCCCATTTTGTTAACACCGATAAATCTATCAAAACCAGAAGCACAGAACAGAAACTTATGCTCTGTTCTGTGCCAAAGGGCACATGACTTAACAGATGTGAAAACATCATTTAGCACCATCTACTGGCATTAAAAATAATAATAAAAAAAAAAGTTCCATTTTCAAGTTACGCTTACACGATGCTGGGCTGAAGAGATTGATCAGAGCTCTTCATGTAGAAGCGACGTTGGGCTGGTAAGAGCGGAATCGTTGTGTTGCACCTACGCCGACGATGGTCCTAAACGGATTAAAAGAGCTCTTTTGGCCAAGTGTTAAAAACTGAACCCTTTCAGACTTTTTTATTATCATTTTCAAAATACTGTGATAAATTAAATCTTTCTTTCCCCACTTGGGATTTTCTCAGTCTAAGAGTAAGAATATTACAAAATGAAACTAGCCAAAATATATAACATTTAGATTACCTTAATAAATATTAATATATTATATTATATATTAGTATTTTACAATCAGAATCATACCATAAATAGTTCAGTAACCTGAATTATACGTTATAAAATGGATTTAAGCTAGTTTGAGGTTTCTTTGAAATAGTGCTGCTGTACAGCATGAAAACTCCCCATTCCTCTGTTTCCATGCAAAAAATTTCCCACTTTTTCAGATTTTAAGATTGTCAACTATGCTGTATGTGTGTATACATCGTACATACACACATATAGTTTTTGTGTATAATATGTATATATGCTTTTGTGTACAGTCAGTATTATATTCCCTAATTTACTTATGAACACCCACAATTACAAGTGATCTCATTTGTCTCCAATCTATTTTCCCTTGCAGGGATTGCTATGGATTCCCATGGTAGTCTTTTGCTGCTTATCTATTAACCTTTTGCTGAAAAAAATTAAGATTTTGAATACATTATAAATATGTTTTTAACGTATTATTTCAACTTACTGATTTATAAGTATTTTGTGATATGAATTCTGTGTTAACTTTCCTGTTCAGAATCCCAAACCTGGAGGGAGGAAGAAAAAGAAGAAAATTGCGATATCGGAAGATTACATAGATAAAGGCATGGGCTATGACGAGACTGATCCATTCATTGATAATGAAGAAGCTGTAAGTTGTATTTATTAAATGATCACTTAGTGCTGAGTCTTCTTCCAAGAGAAAATTTACAAAATGTCTTATTCAGAGTATGGGAGGATTGTAGATGCTAATATATTATTACCAGTGCTAAATTTAATTGTATTTTTAAATTTGTATTGAAAGTAGAGCATTGGCTTTTGAAAAAATCTGGCCATTTTGCACGGAATATTAGTTGAAATACAAGTGAAATAAATTACTGCTGCATAATTGTCTATGGATAGTGCAAATGCCTCAAAGTAGAGAAATGAAACAGAAATACAGAACTTGGGTAATAACCAGAAATCCTCATTTTTTTCCGGAATACCTTATATTGTTTGAGAAAGTAGTATGGGTGGTTATCTCTTTCTTTCTATGTCATTTATAATCTATTAGATAAACTTGATCACTTTCATTGTATGTCCAAATTATGAGTAGCATGCTGATTGTATTTAAGCTGTTTCATTAAATCTGTTTTTTTTTTTTTTTTTTTTTTTTTAATATATGTTAGTAAAAAAAATACTTTTTTGACATGAATCCGTCTATGGACGTTAACTGATTTGTCAGGTCTAATAATCAGGTGCCCATTTAATTTATATTTTGTATTGTTTGACTTTGAGCAAAAGTAAATTATCTGATGGTGCTTATTTATATCTTCCTAGGAAATGAAATAAATTCACTATACATATTCTGTAATTTCTTTTGGTACTAATGCACAAGTTTCACTGTCTATCAAAGTATCTTGATTACAAATCATCTCCATATGTTAAGTGATATTAAGAGAAATACAGTACAAAGGTCCAATATCTGGAATGAACTAAAATCCGGACCAGGCCACCAATAAAAAATCTTTAATTAATTTTTTTTTATTCTTAACGCATGCTGATTCGATTCCCCCCCCGTAAGAAAACATTTGGAGAATCCCGATCGTTAAATTCACTTAGGCACTAAATAAAATACCCTCATTATTGAATAAATGATCACATTAGTATAAATTTGTGTGATCAGTAATTTGACTGTGTTGCTGTGTATCTGCTTGACATACATCTTAAACCGAAACATTCCATACAAGTACTAATATTTTATATCCCAGACACCAACCTGTCAAATAATTATTATATTTGGCTTTCATCACCATATGTTTATCAACACATGACAACTTGAGTAATGACTCATGCAGCGATGCCTAATCAATTTTTTCAACAACCAAAAGATGACATTTGGTGCTATTTGAATTAAGAATAACTGATTTTTTAAATATTTTTTTTATTCACATAAAGCCAGAGCTCGTATGGCCACACCAGACGGCAGAATTTAGGGATGACAAAATTTTTGGAATCTAGAGAAGCACTGAGTAACATAATTAAGGGATGAAAAATTTTTTAGAATTCTGGGAAAGCACTGAGATCCAAAATTAACCCTTTGTTACATATAAATAATTTGGAGAAGTTAAACGAAAATGTTTGTGCTTTTCCCACTTAAAATAGCCTTAGTAATAATAAAAAAATTAATTTTATTCAAATTACATTTTAAATAATTGCTACAGTTTGGCCACTACAGTGGACACCATGCATATACGTACATGAATAAACATATCTTTATGATTATTTTTTAACCATCTTGATGGTGAAAACAATAAAAACAATCATATTTTCCATCAATACACAAATACTTTACATCTTATGCATGATAATGTTGATTTTCTGGAGCATAACTCCATTTTGCATTTTTGGCATTTTTACTTTATTTACTTTATTTTTTAGATATACTTTGTTTTATTATCTAATTAAATAATAGCTTGCTTAAATCACATTAATTATTTAAAATAAATTGTTCCACCCATGAGATCCTCTTCTGTTAGAAACTTAGAATTTTTGCAAAATTCCTCCTACCATAATGTCTTAAAAATGCATTAGATTTAGTTCATGACGTCCATTACAGTAGATAGAGTAAAACTACCTTACCTTAGCTTGTATTCATGACGTCTACTGTAGTGGACAAAAGAAAAATGCCCCATTATCTCTATAAAACTAGCTTCTTAATAATTTTTTTCAAACTCGCATTTAAATTAATATTTCTAAAATTACTAATTATGAATAAAAAATGGCAGTATAAGAAATTTTAGGCGATATTATATAATGTTTACTATGAGAAATACTAATCTGTAAACAGAAGTAGCAGCCATTTTCCAAATAGCAGTACTTTTTTCAGTGATGCTGTGCTGCCATCTCTATGATTCATAGTTGAAAGTTCTAATGATATACAATGAATAAACACAGGAACAGAATCTGTTAAGGCATTTACAGAAGAGTAAAAAAAATTCTAATTTTTGTGCACTAGAGTGGACATTATGCAACAAAGGGCTAAGGGGTGGCAAAAATGTTGAACTTATGGGAGGCGCTTGGTAGCAGAATTTAGGACCCGCAGAGACTGCATCAGGTGGAAAATATCTAGCATCGGCTCACGGTAAGCTTAAGTATATGTGTAAATTTATTTATCAAGGACTCGGATAAGCCTTAAGCATGTGCAAGAATTAGACGTAAATATAATAGCTTAATTCTAGATTAATTCAATTTAGGCCTAATTGTGTCAGTGCATGATGGAATCAGGGCAAAATTTAATGGAACATTTCGTCACTATGCTCCATAGCTAAATCATGTACAGCGGATGCTTGTTAAGTTAGGCTGAAATTATACTTTACTGATTCCAAATAATTTCAGTTAATATATGAGGTTGCGCAGTTTGTTAGCTTTCTGATTTCATCCATCTTATAATTTTTTGCTGGCTGTTATAATTACAGCAATTTTATGAAAATAGAGTTTGAATTTTCGATTATGTCGAAAAGAGTTTCTAATTCTGGAGCTGCAACAGGATCTACGAAGCGAAAGCATGTTTCAATGCAGGGCTTAATTTCTAAAATTAGAAGTGCCGGAGCCCTATGGAAGCTCGTCAGCAAAGAGGAACAAGAATAAATAAATAAATAAAATGACTATTAAAGTCATTAATAATTTTAAAATTAAATGGTCAATTATTATCAAATTAATTAATAGCTATTTAATTAATTTTTATCAATATCTGATTAGTTTTAATAATTAATTATTAATAATTGATTTAATTAATTTAATTATTAATATTTAATTGATTTAATTAATGTTAATATTATAAATTGGTTATTTAATTAATAATTACTATATAATTAATTATAATTTAATTGATAATTATTAGATAATTAATTATTGAAATAATTCAATAATTAAAGCTTAAAGTAATTAAATAATTAAACTAAATGTAATGAGATAAATTTAATAAGCGTTTTTTAATATAATTTTATTGCTAAAAATAAAATTTTTGAGATAAAATTTCTACTGAAATCGTTATTCAATGACATAAAAGAAGTTCATTTAGGCAGTGCTTCTTATTTAGAGCTCTGGCTAGAATTCATGATTTATTACAAAAACTAAGAAGCACCGGAGCCAGTCCAATTTTAGCTCTGATCGTAGGGGGGAAAAGTTCTTTTATCATCACAAAAATTAAATATACTTAGAGTATAGCTGATGAAAATTAAGATAATGCTAAAAACAGAGCGAAACAGAATGAGGGTACGAGTCTGTGGAAACGTATAATGAGGGAATCTTGGCGAGAGAGAACGTTCTGTTTGACCACGGCTCTCTGCTGATATAATTATAGCCATCAAGCAGATGTGTGTCAGGTAAAATGAGTCCTGAATCTGACTCCTAAGGATGAATGTAAAGTTGCTGGTTACACTTTTCATCCCCCCCCCCGTATTTGGTTACATTAGTGGATATTGTGGGAAGACAATGTATAGGATGTGCTTAAGCAGTTTATCTCAGTATTTCACTTTTATTGTACTCGCTGTCACTTAACGTCACATTTAAGAACACAAATTTTCTTTCCTGAAGATAACTAACTGTAAGCATCGATAACAATACACTATATAAATGGCATGGCAACAATTTAGGCGTTTAAACAAACTCCCCCAATTTATTGCCCTTCTTAAAGGAAAAGTTTTCTGCATGTGAGTGAGGGGACTTTACTTGAACGTCTCATGTTCTCATGAGTTCGTATTTCTAGGGAAATAGAGTATTGTAAATGTTAAAATAAAACGTTAGGGATTCTAAATTTTTTTTTTCTTGAAATTGTGGCTCATTGTTACAAAAAGAAGTACTGGAGCTCATCTTATTTAGGGCTCCAGTGCGCACCGGGTAGAACTGTAATTTATCTTAAAAATTGAGAAGTACTGGAGCCGTGCTCCGGTGGGCTCCATTGCAATTTAAGCACTGTTTCGATGTCCAATAAACGAAAAGTGGAATTGCTGCATTAAATGGGTAAATCTGTCTCAAAATTATGCTAGGAGTATGGCATTGAAAAGTCAATTGTATATGACATAAGAAAACAGAAAAAGGAACTTTTTGAATTTTTTGTGGATTCCGAGAACACAGTCACAAAGAATAACAGAAAAAAAGTTCTTTATGCTAAAAGTTACGATCATGACAAAGTGATGATTGAATGGTTAGACAGAGATGCAGCGAGGGCATGCCATTGATGGGTCCAATGCTTATGGCTCAAGCCGAAATATTTCATGAAGAAATTAACTTAAAAACTAAGTGTGCATATTCAATAGACTGGTTAACCAAATTTTAAAATCACTGTGGTATAATGCAATTAAAAATTTGAATTAAAAAAGCTTCAGCTGATACTGAAGCTGCTGAACTGTTTGCAGATGAATTCATTGAACTTATTAATAGTGAAACGTTACCTCCAGGACAAATTTACAACACTGATGAAACTGGTCTTTTTTGGCAATATGTACCACAAAATATCTTGCCAACCTCTACAGAAAATGTTAAAGTTTCCAAAGCTAGACTAATAATTTTAGCAGGCGCAAATGCTGCAGGAACGCACAAGTGTAAACTTTTTGTAATCAGAAAAAATACACGACCTCAAGCATTTAAAGGAGTAAAGGTTTTTCCGTTATATATCATCTTTTATCATTCATATTACCAGTATTTTGTATAATTGGCATAGATGTTATCACTGTCTAATTTTAATGAATCTTGTTACTTTTTTAGTATGATGAATTGGTACCATCTACTCTTACTACTCAGTTTGGAGGGTTTTACATAAATAAAGGAGATTTGGAGTTTCGAACTTTATCAGATCCAGAAAGTGGAAATGAAGCTAAACCTAGGAAAAAGGTATTAAAGCATACTATGCAATAATTGTATTTGAAGGTGCAATTTTATCAAGTACTTTTGGTTGCCATTAAGAAATTTCACTGGTATTCATTTCACACATTAACAAAAATTATACTGAGTTGCCTAAAATGTATGTCAAAGTTATGCATCACAATCTAAAATGTATTTATGCGCAAAGTTGTGTACAGTCAAAAGTCTTTAATCCGGACTCGTCGGGACTTCGGCTATTCCGGATTATCGATTTTTCCGGATTATAGATCATCAGTTTAAATATGGTAAGATGGCATGCAGAAATTATAAAATTAAAAATATGAAATCGTAATTTATAAAATAATGAGCAATTATGATCTAAGGTATCAAAATTTACAAAAAAAGAAGCTTAATATTATTTGTTTACTTTATTAAACATTTCTTTCACGCGCGCATGCGTACTTTGCATAGCCGAAATTAGAAAATTGCAACCAAAAAACTATTTGATGTGTATTGTGATATTTATAATGACGAGGAATTTGATTTAAATCATATCAAAGACGGAGGACATCGAGATTAAATACTTACTACATTTTGTAAAGGAATTATAAGCCGAATAAAATAAAAACACCTGCCCTGAAGATAAAGATATTGTGACAGATCAACTTCCAGTTATTCCGCGCCGCGACGTCCCCCCCCCCGCGCAGAGCAGCGTGAAAATTGATAAACAGATTTCGGAACGGTTAGATAAACAAAAGGATATACCTTTATCCATTTTTTGTAGCAATTCGTTTTTTGTTTGATGGACATGAATCATACTTTCTTTTCTAGATCCTTTGGGAGCTCCAGCATCGGAAATTCTATTTGACATAACCGAAAGTTCAAGCTTACTTTTATAAAATTGCTCTTACAGTCTGCAAAAAATAATAAGCCAGATCCAATTCGAAGATTAAGGAACAACGCAATCATCAACATTAACTGAAATAGATAATTAGATAAATTTAGCTTATACCGTCCGTTATACATTAAACGCGCACGCGAAAACGTATTCTGCACTTGCGCAGACGCATATGCACAGTCGTAACTGTCTTGTGCGCACGCGTAAAACGCCTATGAGCATGTGTCAATGCGCCGCATGCGCAGAAAGATTTTAGCTTTGAGGTCCGGATTATAGATCTTTCCGGATTATGGGTGTCCGAATTAACGACTTTTGACTGTATCAGTATTTCTGATATTTGACCTGTGATCCCTGTATTGTAATCTTGAATTTTTGTAACCTTCTGAAATTTCTCAATCTTGTCTTGAAACTCCATGAAACTCAAACTGAAGTTGGATTGTTAATTAATCCTTTTCGAACAGGTGTCCTATTCCCTGGGAATGTCTCTTGCAGCCAGGCGCCCCCACCCATGCAATATTGGAGAATGCACATAATAAGGGACGGGTGATGCATATATGAATTTTAGGCTGAAAAATTTTTCAAAGATCACTAGATTGCATTCTGTGTCCATTACTTTTGAACTTTATTTAGTTTTAGAATCATGACCTTCAGTTTGATCACATTCTGTGTAATGGTGTCAGTTGTTGCAGGTGAGGGAAGGGAAGCATAATGTAAATAAACAGAGCTCAGGCTCTTTAACTCACCATGTAATGTAAACATTCGCTGTATAAGGTATTTCTCCCACCTTCTTGGCATGCCTTCATGGTGTGGTGGTCTGCATGCTGGGCGTGTATTCCAGAGGTCCATGGTTCGATTCCCGGCAAAGGTGGTTGCTCATTTTTCATCTTTACTGCTTCCTCAAATAAATAAATAAATAAATAAAAGTAATGTCTCTAAAGCATTTCTGATATTCCTTTGAATCCTTTTTTTTTTCTTTTTTTTGTTACTATGTAGGGTCTTTTAGGGTTACTTTGTGGGATTCTGTTACGCTTTGCATTGCTTTATCGCTTGTATTTTGCTTACTTCACTTTTTATTTTAGAAAGCTTTGTCTTCAGTTTATTATGGCAACCAAGCATTATTTATCAAAGGGAGGTCATTCTGGAATGGCTAATGAGCCTATTAATGAAATGAATGAGAATGATGATTCATTTGCTAAAGAGTTAGAGAGCGATATTTCTCAAGTGATTCTCGTCTGGCCAGTTTTTAGAGACTGAACCCAGTGTCTGCTTTCAGTTTTTCGTGAAAGATTTTGTTGCTTCTTCTAAATAGTCTTTCTTGCATTTTTAAAATGAATTTTAAAGTTTATTGATGTGTTTTGTCAATTAAAATTTTGGAGTTATTTGAATAGTGCTTCCGAAAATTATTTCTGAAGGTAAAAAAATTTTTATATATTTTCATGTAAACGAAAAAAAATTATCAAATGCTAATTTTAACATATATGGTAGCTTAAGTAATTATCTAAAATAGTACCAAAAATTATTTTGTTATTACTTAAACCTTTTTTTTTGTGTGTGTGTGTGTGTGATTTCTTTTTCTAAAGTTAGCTTGTAGGCTTTGCAACACCAAACCACTGTCCTGTGGAATGATTCCTTTCAACTCCCATCTATCCCAAGGGAGCATCTCTAACAAAGGCTCTCATCTCGAAAGGGCTAAGTTTCATGTCCTAAAGTTTTATCAAATAATCTGTTAAATTCTATGTTCCTTTGGTGCGACTGTTATCTCAGATTGTTAGTTTCCGTTTAAGCATGTATAAGTTTATTTTGCATATAGAAACACTTGTTTCAAGTTTCAGGTAAAGGAAGTTCCTTTTTATATACATTGCATTTGAATTCATATTTCTAAAGTAATTAGCACTAATAGAAGTGTATGCAAGCTCTGATGATAAAGTTAAAAATCCTGAGCAACTATAGAAATGTAATGCATGATTCAAATTGAATTCACTTATCAGTAATGGAAGCACATACAGACTCTGATTAAAGGTGGGCAATCGTGAATAGATGTAGAAATTAAACAAACAAGTTTCTTGCAAAAGTAATTTGAAAAGTTTGGTATCGGAGGAAAGGGTCATCTTTATAGAACTCTGATCTGAACCCTTATTGAATACATTAAGAGTAACTGTAATGCTAATTGTGAGACAAGTTTTATTGTTTATCTTCAATAAAATGTTATATCCTGGAAGAATGCCAGTTCCTGCATCAATTTTCAAAATTCAATAATGAAAAGTCTTTCCAAACCATTGTTACAAAAGCAGAGTATGGATGGCCTTAATTTTATTTTGTAATGAAGCTACATGTGTAATGTTTATGCATTTTATGTTCTCTGTCATAAAATTCTCTTTTTCGCTTAAAAATCCCATAAAAGGTTTCACTAAGGCATCTCTCCCCTCATGCAAGATAGGCCTTGTGTGCTTTATTGTATTCAAATAACATGACCTTTCTTTCAAAGAATCTGGTGCTCTGTGTGTGCAATACTGTAAAAGATATTTTAAAGTATGTGCTAATTACGTTTTCAGCGAATTAAACAAACAACAGAAAAAGAAAAGAAAAGAAGACGTGTTGGATGTGAAGAAAATCAAAAACGCAGAGGAAGAAGACCTTTACATGAATCTGTGAGGTAAGCTGTAATTTCTTTATTTTAATATTGAATGTGAATGAATAATCTGTAAATATTAAACTTATTGGATTATCTTAAGTTTTAATACTATTGAAATATGTTTCATAACTTGCAGTGAGTTCTATTGTGTGAAGTTTAGTCTTCTTATAAGGAAACTGGTACAGGCAAAAGTCTTTAATCCAGACTCGTCGGGACTTCAGCGATTCCGGATTATCGGTTTTTCTGGATTATAGATCATCAGTTTAAATCTGGTAAGATGGCATGCAGAAATTATGAAATTAAAAATATGAAAGCGTAATTTATGAAATAAAGAGCAATTATGATCTAAAGGGTATCAAAATTTACAAAGAAAGCTTAATATTTATTCGTTTACTTTATTAAACATTTCTTTCAACGCACGCATGCGTAAAGCATACATTTACGCATAGTCGAAATTAGAAAATTGCAATCAGAAAGCTATTTGATCTGTATTCGTGATATTTATAATGACGAGGAATTTGATTTAAATCATATCAAAGATGGAGTACATCGAGATGAAATACAGTCAAAAGTCGTTAATTCGGACACCCATAATCAGGACCTCAAAGCTACAAACTTTCTGCGCATGCGTCGCGTTCACGCATGCGCACAGGCGTTTACGAGAGCGCGTAAGACCCTTACGGCTGCGAATATGTTTGTGCGCATGCGTGTTTAATGTGTAACGGAGTTATACGCTAAGCTAAAATTATCTAATTCAGTTAATGTTGCAGATTGTGTTGTTCCTTAATCTTCGAATTGGATCCGGCTTATTATTTTTTGCAGACTGTTAGAGCAATTTTATAAAAGTAAGCTTGAACTTTCGATTATGTCAAATAGAATTTCCGATATATATTTACAAAGCGAAAGTATGTTTTGAAATCCAAAATCTGTTTATCAATTTCACGCTGCTCTGCGGCAGAGGGGGGGGGGCAGAAACGTCATTATTAGATTATGATAGATTAGAAAGATTATATCAAATAGAATTTCCGATATATATTTACTAATATGTAATTTGTATCTACAAAGCGAAAGTATGTTTCGAAAACCGAAATCTGTTTATCAATTTCACGCCGCGGATTGGAAGTTGATGTGTCAGCACTATCCTTATCTTCAGGGCAGATGTTTTTATTTTATTTGGTTTATAATTCCGTACTAAGTGTAGTATTTCATATCGATCTACTCCGTCTTTGATATAATTTAAATCAAGTTCCTCGTCATTATAATTCGCTTCCGATAGTGAAGAAAGTGACCCAGAGGTTATTCAAAACGAAAACATTTCGATTGACAAATTCGGTATTCTCAACACAGCAATTATAGGACTTGAACAGCGGAACTTTGTAACTAAACAAGAAATTATGTCTGTTTAATAAAATTAAAGAGAAAGTATTATCACATGAAACGAAGCAACTTACATTGAAGGAAATGTTTAATAAAGTAAAACAAAATAAATATTAAGCTTTTTCCTTTTGTAAATTTTGATACCCTTTAGATCATAATTATTCTTTATTTCATAATTTACGGTTTCATATTTTTAATTTTGTAATTTCTGCATGTTATCTTACCAGATTTATTATAGCAGAAATTACAGAAAAGGGAAAATATTTTCATCACCAATATTCCCATTTAGAACACATTTATTTCTCTCAAGATGTATATGAATGCAAAGCAAAAGTGCAGTAGCCCTTATAAAGAACATTTTAAATCTTGCAAAAATCTAATAAATAATCCTCCCTTTAAAAGACAAACTTGGAGAGCATTTTAAATATTGAATGAAACAAACTTAGAAGGATAAAAAATTTCCATTCTCTAAAAGACAAATCACTCGTATATCTCCAATTTATAAGATACTATTCAGTACTTCCTTTTCTCTTGCATAGTAGAAATTGCAAAGTTTTTATCATAACATTAGCCTTGGTCTGAGGCTGCAGCATAATCTTGGAACTTGAATCTAAGAAGGGTTCAAGTTCTTCAGATCAGTGTTTTTTTTTGGCTTGTTCAATATTTGGTGTAGCATGATCTTTTTTTTTTTTTTTTTTTTTTTTTTTTTGTGTGTGTGTGTGTGTGTGTGTGTGTGTGTGTGTGTGTACTGGTTTTCTAAGAACTGTGTGCTGCACTTGCCACACATAATTTTTGTTTCAAATACAAAAAAGGTAGGGGGTGATGAGTTTAAGGTTATTTTAAGTTGAAAATTCTGAAAAATATTAAAAGGTTTTAAAAGATATTCTTTTCATTGCTATCCAATTTTTTCACGCTTAATCAAATAATATTAAGCATGAATGAAATAGGATGGGACCAAAAAGTTTGTTATATCTGCAGGATTCATTGTAAATTGGGTTTGCTGTAATAAGTTTGGATCTGAAAGCTCACACTGGTGATGTAATGTGAGAAATGTATGTTCAGCATCTTTCAAAGAATGAGTGACCATTCTTCTTTGATTATTAAATTATATGGGAAAGAACAAAGTAACATTTCATGTTGTATGTTTAAAAGTTTATTTAATAAATATATATGTAGGGTTTTAGACTTTGATACATGATAAAATATGTTATTGGCAAGTAAAATGTTAGTTTGGGAAATTTGTTTTATGCCAGTCCTTTTATTGCAGTGTTCAGCCATGTTAAAATCAATGAATGTTTGGTTCTAGACAGACTGACTAGATCAGGTTTTTTTTTTTTTTTTTTTTTTTTTTTTTTTGTGGTTTTTCCTTGTATAACCTAGATACGTTCCCTTAAAAAGTCTTCTAAAAAGGCATCCCTCTCCTTAGGTAGATAGTTCTTGCATACTTTGCCGTAATCAAATAAACTGAACCAAAACTTAACACAGTGTTTTCAAGTTAGTGTTCAAGATCAGTTTAAAAGGAATGTATGTGAAGTAATGTGTTTTGTATTTTGGTATGTGGTAGTACATTAAAATAATTTTTATACATAAAAGGCTAATATAGGAAAACTTCTATGTAAAACATTCCTATCTTGATTTGTTTATGTAATATTTGCATGCTGCTGTTTTAAATCTATTTAAAAACATATTATTGTATAAAATAATGTCTGTGACAAATACACTTGTTTAGCTAAATTATTGATGAAATATTTTACTTCAGTGAGTATGCTTTTTTTTTTAGTGCCTTAACAAAACCAAAGAAGAAGACTCAGCCTACTGTTGCAGATATGCTGCAACAGCACAAAGCTAATCTCCAACGCATGCATCAAGAAAATTTACAGCAGTTGCAACTAAATCCCATTGCAGTTGAAAGAGAATTAGAGTCAGAAGAAGATGATAATGCTCAACAGTTAATGCCAGGCCAAGCTTCAACTATAAATGAAGCTATTGAATCTGTTGTTAAAGCTGCTGCTGAAGATGCCAGTAATGGATCTGCTGGGCCTGTTACAGGAAGTAGTGATGGTGAAGAAGTCAAGCCACCAATAGAATGCATTGAAGCTCCAAAATTACCAGACAACTTGCCTCCAGATTTGGATGATGTAGTTGCCAAGTTGAAAGAGGTAAATAATTTTAAAAATGAGATAAAGCCACTGTAAAGAGTAGAATATAGTAAATTTCTGTTTTTATTATGAGTGATTGTCCATGTATATCTTTTAGATAGATATCTTTCATAATAAAAATTTATTTTGAGTCAGAATGCAGTGCAATGTGCAGAAAGAGGTAATATTTTAAAAAATGAGATAAAGCCACTGTGAAGAGTAGAGTTTACTAAATATCTGTTTTTATTGTGTGTGGATTATATGTGTATATCTTTTAGATAGATATCTTTCATTATAAAAAAGTACTTTGTATCGGAATGAAAAAAAATACAGTTGCAGAGTTGCCAACTCTCCCAATTTAGGCTGGAGACTTCCCATTTTCGAATGCTCTCCCACCAACCCGATTTACAATATATTTCTCACGATTTTTATGGAACTTGGCTTAATACTTCGTTATGTGAACAAAAAATTTTTGAACAGATTTCCTGTGTTACTTCATTTAGTCATGGAACATGATGATATTGATGTTGCCACTGATAATATTGAAGTAGTAATTTTGCAGTTTAGAATTAGAAAACTTGGATGAAGTTATAAAATCAGCTAGGATTGACACCTAGTGGAGTTTAATTGGAAAACTGAAAGGTGCTATGATGGAATTTTAAAATATAGTGAACTGTCTAGAATTATGGTGGCCATCTTGACAGTTCCCCATAGTAATGCAGAGTGTGAGAGGATTTTCAGTGTTGTAGCGAAAACAAGGACTAAATTTAGATCTAATATTAGTGATGACACATTAGAAAAACTTTTATTAGCGAAAGCAGGCCTACGTGGCAATAGCTATGAACAAAATTATGAAGTTTCTTTCTTAACGAAAGCAAAATCTGCCACTGTTCGTAACATTTGTACAAAAACTGATTAAAGTGTCTTTTTTTTTTTTTTTTTTTTTTTTAAACAATGCAAGTAATAAAAATTTTTTTATATGCAAGGTATTTTTGTGTTGCTTGCATTTAAGAATTAGTAACTATTTAAAGTTAATTCATTATTAAAAACTATATTTTTATCATTTAAAAAGTCTTTTTAACATTGGGAAAAATCTCCTGATTTCTTAAAAAAATCTCTTGATTTTTGAGTGTCTCAGGTTGGCAAGTATGCAGTTGAGTTTATCAGTAATCTTGGAGACTTTTTGTACAGAAGTAGTGATGAAAGATCACAAAATTCTTAAAGTAAATTAAGTTTTAAGTAAAGAATATTCATTTAAAGAAAACAAGCATAAATTTTAGTATATGACAGTACAATAACCAGTGAGCTGTTTGTTAACTATTGGTGATATGTTGACCTGTAAATTAAAAAACAGCCATTAAATGCCTCCTACCATGTTTTCATTTGTTATAATTGTGAAATCACAAATGTTTCTAATGCAGTGTTATTTTCCCCAAGAACATTGGTTATGATTCTTCCTCCATTAACCTCTTTTCTTACATCCCCTTACATATTGCTTCAGTTTCTTGGTGATCTTATTATGTTTTGCAGTTTGTTTCCGCTATTTAATCATTAAATCATTAAATATGAAATTTTAATTTGGTTTTTTAATTTTAGTGTTCCTAGGAAATTTTAGTGTTCTTTTAAACCAAGTATTTTTTTATACATGCATAATGTATTTGAGAATCTATGTAGTAGAAGGAGCAATTTGAGGCATTAAAATATTTAGTGTGGTAAAATGGTTTTTTAATAATTATTATTAGTCCATGATGTGTTACAACAGTTCAGATCTTGTCAAAATGTAGAGTGTCAAAGGTTAGGTTATTTATGACAGGGATTCTCATCTGACACTAAATTCCCAAATTATTTAACCTAAAATTGGGAGACACAGCTTTAACAAAAGAGAGTTCATAGCAGAAAACATTTAAAGTTGAAATACTCTCACTTGATTCAAAAAGGCCAATAAGCTAAGCATTAAAGAATGATGTCAGCATAGCAGAATTGACAAAGTTTCATAGTTTGTATTTATAAATATGATAAATTAATAAACATATAAGTCTACTACTGGCCAACCGGTAAAGTTGCTGAACATCCTAGGTTCGAATTCCACGAACGGGCTCGTTACATGGTCTTTTTCATGGTTTTCCCTGTGTGTGATGTGTACATGATCCAGTTTGCCTTAGGAAGTCCTCCATGAAGGCATTCTTTCCAGGCAGGCAGCCCTCGAGGCTTGCCATAATCATATAAAATAATAAACATATAAACAATAAATATTTAAAAAATATAATGAACCAATTTACGTGTACCTTATTAAAGTAACAAGATTTCAGTTTTTACATTTAGAATATTCCAGTTTAATTACAAATCTTTTGGGGGTTAATAGCTTTCTTTCTTTTTTTTTACCATTAGAGCAGTAAAATCTTTGGGGTTAATGGCTTTTTTAACCATTAGAGCAGTAATGGTAAGAATCATTGGTTTCTAGGTCTTATAATGCTTATTCTTACTTTCTGCTCCATTAATTGCAATATATGTTCTCAAATTTATTGGAATTTTTATCAAGATAAGATTGTTTAAATTTTTTTTAAAAAAAATTTAAATACAGTTTTTGTTTCTCTTAAAATCCATTCTAAAGTGTGGCATCAAGCATTATGATACAGTTCATAGAGTTTTATATGTCGTGAGAGATCATATTTTATTAATATACAGTCAAAAGTCGTTAATCCGGACTCGTCGGGACTTTGGCGATTCCGGATTATAGATCATCAGTTTAAATCTGGTAAGATTGCATGCAGAAATTATAAAATTAAAAATATGAAACCATAATTTATGAAATAAAGAACAATTATAAGCCAAATAAAATAAAAACATCTGCCTTGGAGATAAGGATAGTGCTGACAGATCAACTTCCAATTCATTGCACGCCGCGGCGTTAAAGATAAACAAACGTTAAAGTTTAGATAAACAAAGGATATTATCCATTTTTTTGCAGCAATTCCACTTTTTGTTTAATGGACTTCGAAACAATACTTTCGCTTTGTAGATCCTTTACATATTAGTAAATATACATCAGAAATTCTATTTGACATAATCGAAAGTTCAAGCACACTTTTATAAAATTGCTGTAACAGTCTGCAAAAAATAATAAGCTGGATCCAATTCAAAGATTAAGGAACAACGCAATCTGCAACATTAACTGAAATAGATAATTAGATAATTATAGCTTAGCTTATACCGTCCGTTATACATTAAACGCACACTCGTAAACGTATTTTGCACACGCATATTCGCAGCCGTAAAAGTCTTATGCGCAGAAAGTTTGTAGCTTTTAGGTCCGGATTATGGGTGTCCGAATTAACGACTTTTGACTCTATATATAACATCTGTTGAGTTTTTGATTTTTAGTGAGTACAGTACAGAGTCTGTAATCCGGACTCGTCAGGACTTTGGCGATTCTGGATTAGGGTTTTTTCCGGATTATAGATCATCAATTTAAATCTGGTAAGATGGCATACAGAAATAATACAATTAAAAATATGAAACCGTAATTTATGAAATAAAGAGCAATCATGATCTAAAGGGTATCAAAATTTACAAAAAAAAAAAAAAAAAAAAAAAAGCTTAATATTTATTTGTTTACTTTAGTAAACATTTCTATCAATGTAAGTTGTTTAAGTTGCTTCGTTTTTTGTGCTAATACTTTCTCTTTATTTCTATAAACAGACATAATATCTTGTTCAGTTACAAAGTTCCACTGTTCAAGTCCTGTAATTGCTGTGTCGAGTATACAGACTAACTTAATCGATATTTTTTCATTTTCAATAATGTTCTCTGTTACTTTCTTCACAATCGGAAGCTCGCATGGGTAAACGCTTTACTGGCTTTACCCGCATGTGTAAGTTTGTGCCTTGAGGTACGGATTATAGATCATTCCGGTTAATGGACGTCCGGATTAGAGACTTTGTATTGTATAAGAATTTGTTTTACAGAAGTATTATGAGATTTTAAATAATGATAAAAATGCTACAGAAATAAAACTTTGCAGTATGGTTAATCATGCCTTCCATGTATTTTCAAGAATATGTAGTAATGTGCATGAATTCCTTCTAAATTATAACTAGTAAAAAGTTGTTTCAATTAGGTAAGTTTTTTTAACAATACATTGATTTTTGTATATTTAAAATTAGTCAGAAATCATGATAAACAAGGTATTACTAGTAGGAAAATATGTATTGTACAGTGAATTTAAGAACTGCATAAATACACTCTTTTGAAAAAAAAAAAAAAAAAAAAAAAATCAAAGCATCAAGAAGGACTTTTGCAAACGTGATGAAATTTGGTATGCAAAAACATCTTGATTGAACATGCAAACGATCAAAGTTTCAAGGCAAATGAACAGGAATTGCGATCATAGCGCACATTTCGAGTGCGCAATTCGCAAAGTATAAAACCAGTAACAGAGGCAGGAAATGTATCTTTTTTTTGTTGCTACTATTGTAATTCTGTAAAGCAGCAACTAAAGATGTCATTACGACAATACTGAAGACCTTACAGACACAGGGTTGCCACGCTACCTGGAAAACCGGAAAAAGTCAGGGGAATTCGGAAATTGACCGAAAAATTCAGGGAAAAGTCAGGGGATTTAAGTGTTTTAGTCAAAATCTGGAAAAGTTGGGGAATTTCATACAACGATCCCACCAAAAAAAGGTGAGTTTTGCGCCAACGTTGGAAGAGATAACTTTTTTGGCGAATTGTGTATCATGTGAGTGTCATTCGGGCAGCTGGCATAGAGCCAATTTTCACAGCTCCAATTTAATTGTCTTTTTACAGGGTTCGTACGGTCCTTAAAAGTCCTTAATTTTGGCCAAAATGAATAAACGGTCCTTAATTTTGCTCATTTGACATTTCTTATCATTTCTAATGTTTGCCATTCTATGTGTGAATTGCGATTCCTCATGAATATGGAATTAAAATTGCACGGCTCTTAACCAATCTGTTGGCGGATTTGTGTAGCAAACGATAAAAAAAAAAAAAAAAAAAAAAAA